CCCCAAAACCCCAAAACCCCAAAACCCCTCATCTCTAATTTTTGGTTGATTCTGTCCAAAGGGAATTTTACTCGTCAGAGTCAGACTCTTCAGGAGGTTCGATGTCACCTGAGATTTCTTTCTCTGTTCATTCTATCCTGAACTCGACTAGTTTCTTTTTCTCAGGTATCACATATTGTACTATGGTATTAAGCCAAGTTGCTTACCTAGTATTTTATCATGTGCTAGGGACTTCTGGAGGAAGTCTATGTACTGCTCATAAGTAACCTGCTCGTTCTCTATTGCAGCTTCAAGTGAAATCTTTTGTTTTTGGAACTAGATTTTAGGCTAAAATTGTACCTTTAGAAGCTCAGTCTGAAGCTCTTTAGGGATCCGAACCTTCCGCTTTTGATATGAGGTAACCTTCTCATTGATTTGTTTATATCTTTGTGTACAATAGTAGAGACTGAAGAGGTTTCGTTGGACATCAGGGTCTTTTACTTCATCACTTTTGATCTCTTTTGGGACTAAATTTTGATAAAAATAGAATTTACTCTCTACAGCAGGTTTGGGAGCAGCCTCAATAGTTACTACTTGCTTCTTAGGTTTTGATTGAGGCTTTACCTGTGGCTTTTTCTTTTGCTCTGGTACCTTCACTTGGGAGACCATTTGGCTGCTTTGATGAATTTTCTAGAACTATTAGTGACATTTTGTACTTTTTGATTGTGCTCTTCTTTGACCTCCTCCTTGGTCTTCTCCTTCAATTCTTCCTTATCATGGAGCTCTTCATGGTTCTTAATTCTATCAAACACTGCTTTATCGGTAGCTTTTAGTTTAAAGGGGTTAGGAATGTCTAGAATTTTGACAATTTTCAAGACAGAGTCCTCTGTTTCTTCATTGTTTTCCTTTAAGTTAACCTCGAACGAATATCTCTCTTCGTCCCAGGTCTCTGAGTGCTTAATTCTCTCTCACTTGAGACTTCTGAAACGCTTAAGTTCAATAGTGGTATACTCCTGAAGGCTATCAAAAATCTTGAGTCTGTACTGATAGAGTTCTACTTCGATCTTGTAGCTAGAGATCTTCTTGCGATCCTCTGCTTCGTCAAGGTCGAACTCGACCTTGAATGATGTTCCGAGTATCGGCAAGTCTCTCCGATCGATAGTCTCATCACGGAAATCGTTCAAACGGATCAACAGGTAGTACCTGAAGAACGTCTTGGAGTATGACTTTGGAAGAGTTACATTTATCTCAATGGTTTCTATAGTTTAGTAAGAGATTTCTTTACTGCCTGATTTTACAGATCCGATTAATGTAGGAAAATGGACTTCAGAGATATGTATTTCAGGGACTGGTTGCCACTTGTTCCCCAAGAGAACCAGTAGCTTCTCTTTGATGTCCTCTTGCTCTTTGACCAGCTTGATCAACTTTTGAAGATTCTCTTTAGATATAGGGTCTTTTTGGGCTTTGTAAATACTCATCATTTTGTTTCGCTCTTTCTGAATTTGAGGGATCAGTTTTTCAATGTATTCTATGTATTTCAAAAATTCGCCTTTTCTCTGGTTCCCGAATATATCTTGTGGAACTACATCTCGAGGGAGCTTTACGATCAGCTGGAGGTAGTCATCCTCATTCTGGTGTTTATACTTTGAGATGAAGTGCTTTATTAGGTCTGCTTTTTCCTTCAGATCGTTGATAATGTCTTCTTTTTGACCTATTTGTCCACAATAGTTGATAGCCATTTCGTAATTTATGAGCCTCTCTCTAAGTACCTTTTTAATGTCAGAATAATCGTATTCTTCTAGGACAACTGATCCTTGAGTTTGAGCTCTTCTCAGGTTGCTGTCAAACTCTTTTTGAGCCTTTGAGTTCACCTTAGTTAAGGTTGGCTCAACGATTTGGTGTTCTTCTTCAAAAGCCATTTCACTATCTGCAGATGGCTCCCAACTTTCTGAGGGGTTATCCTCTGGGGCTTCTTTCTCTTCTTCCTTGTTAGATGTGATTTCTTGTTTGATCAGAGAAATTCTTTTGAGAATTCTAGAATTATAGAAGTCATATAGAGCTGCTCCATCTTCCATATCTAGGTCATATTGGTCTAGAAATTAGAAAGAAAAAGGTACTTCTCATCAATTCTTTTAAGAGATTTTCGTTTAGCTCTAAGGAGCCTTGTAGAGCTTCCGGGTAAGATATTTTCCCTCCTTTAAGCTGATTATCAAGCGCCTCTTTGAGAGTTTGAATGTATATCTTTTTATCCTCAACTTCTGTATCTTCTATTAAGCCTAGCTTTAGCAACTATAGGCGAATGTAAGAGATCAAAGGTTTAGAAGCAGATTTGAGGGAACAGTACCTTCGGAATCACAGTGAGTTCATACTCGAGGCACTTAAAGCTCTTGATGTCCTCTAATGGGGAATACTTGGTCTCTATATCATCGTCCAACAGTTGGTCTAAATCTGCGTCACTCATTTTTATTAAATTATTAGCTTTTGAATACTAAAATAAAGGGTTTTGGGGTTTTGGGGTTTTGGGGTTTTGGGG